AACAAAGCCCCTTCTCCTCACCGAAACCCTACACGAGAGGACTGGGAGGCGGCCCTGCTCGGTTGCTCAGACCTTCAGGCCCAACAGGCCAATCGGTCCAGATAGTCAGGGCGGCGCCTTCAGGGTTCCGGAATAGAAACTCCAACTAGTGTGTGGAGACCTCACAAGAGGTCCAGCACCTATCTTATGAAAATAGATGTTTTTCACCACCCATACACAACTGCGTCGTCATTGAATTGACATGAATATAAGTGTTGCGGTAGTGGGTTCCCTTGTGCTTTCATTTGTGATGCAGCAAAACACGATGAAGCTGTGTTTGCTTGGTTTCCTGTTTTCCGCCGCGGGACCCATTCGTTACGGGTCAATGATTCGTGCGAAAGCGTGTCGCTGCAACCTTTGCCCCTGTGTAGGTATTCGCTGCGTGCTAAATACAGAAACACGCGATCTTCTGCTGACATCCGATTCATCACATGCGGCAACAGCGCATCAGGTACGGACGAGCGTACGCGGAGTGCAATGAGATATTAGTCGAAAGCCAAGCAAACCTCAACACGCTGCCCCGCCGCGGTGGTCTAGTGGCTAAGGTACTCGGCTACTGACCCGCAGGTCGCGGGATCGAATCCCGGCTGCGGCGGCTGCTCTTCCGATGGAGGCGGAAATGTTGTAGGCCCGTGTGCTCAGATTTGGGTGCACGTTAAAGAACCCCAGGTGGTCAAAATTTCCGGAGCCCTCCACTACGGCATCTCTCATAATGATATGATGGTTTTGGGACGTTAAACTCCACATATCAATCAATCAAACCCAAGACGCTGCCTTCGTGACTCAATCCGCAGGGTGGCGCATCTCATCAAATCAGCCCCAATTAGGCGGGAAATATAAGTGCGTTCACGAACATTGTTTTTTTTGTTTTATAAAAATTCGTCAGTAAAGCTACACGCAGGGTGGCGATGGAACAAAAATGCCTCACTTTCGTAAATTTTCACGGACATATCGAAAACACTTTAAGATGAGCCGTTTCCGTTCATACATTGATGGGTACGCGCATTCTCATACAAAAGAGGCGGCTCAGCTAACGTCTTTTACTATTTTCTGCTTTATCGATCTGAAGAAAAACGTAAGCTCATAAGAAACGAAAAGACAAATGCTTAAATAAGATCTGTTGCTTATAAGACGAAGCGTGTTGTCGAACGAGTGGTGATCAGCAGCATTCCACAAATGGTCATACCTAGAAAAAAAGTAAAAAAAAAGGAAGACACATGAGTGATATATTCGAACCACTCATCTTACGCAATGCTATAACATTGCCGACGCTCTATACTGTTCAGGCATGATGATAGATGCGATGCGTTGCAGTCGCCGTGATTTGTGGAGTCTGAGCACCACGGAGGGACTGGTTGTAGATGTGTCGGTTTTTACGCATTTTTTTTTTCTTAGACATAAGTGCACGCGTATAGCGTTCGTAGCAGGTATGCGTTCCGCAATTTTTTTCTTTTCCGTTATAGATGCACCACATCTGTACGCAATTAAGTACCCGGTTTCTTACGTGTAAAATACACGACGTGATAAAGAGGCACTCCGCACAATGATCTTCCGGATTAATTTTCCAGACCTGTTTAACGTGCACGTGGCATTTAAGATACCAATGGCAGGGGAGATGGCCTGATGCTGTCGCGATATTACTGAAATACGCATGAACGAGCGATGGAGTGACGTCAACTTAGTTGCACAAGAGACATGTCATGTTTCATCTTTGCGATGGTGCGGATGTCGGCTACTTCCGGGAACGACGATGCAATGATGATCACCATACAGTTGCACTGCTCGAGTATCAAAGAACGACACGGAACTGAAATTTCTGATCACAATATGGTACGAAACTGCGGTTTCCGATTAGATACACGCTCCTACGCGTTTCCGCCGTATCCACGTTCCGTCTTCGCTTTTAGATACGAATGCGTAGAACGCTGTCCTGCACGACTGTGTCATGGCCTTTTCAATGCAAGGAGGCCGAGAGGTTCACCGTACCTGTTTATTCCACGTTCACGTAAACACCATGGCACACATCTAGATTATTATTTAGCCGCTTTGACAATTGGCACCCAAGCAAACTGCCGACTTGTCCTTCTCAGTGGCATCCCTGAAACACCGTTATAAGAATGCTCTCTACACGAGATTGTTGTTTACAACTGTTAATTCTCGATATGTAGTGTTGAATAAAAAAGTAAATATCACACATTTTCACCGCAAGCTTGAAACAATGAATGCGATTTCAAGAAGCTTGAATGTCACACGGAGTATGACAAGCAGGTCGATACTTGAGCGTGCCACTGAAACACAAAGTTAGACGCGAGAGTGTAGCCGCGAGAGTGTAAAACTTGCGCATTCATTAGGCAGACATTCTGACCCTCTGCCACTGGCCACCATTTTTAATATAAATTCGTCTTTTTTGTTCTATCTTTTTTTACTCTCCTCTCGATATTGTGTACTGGATCGTTTTAAGCTACTTTAATAGCTTCGGGATATATTGGTATAGGACATCTATAGAATGCATTGGTTCAAATTGACCTTCTTGACACACACGTGCAGATTGTCAATCTATTTGCAACCATTACTTTCATTGGGTCAGTAATGTATTCATCACCATCATAATTATCGCCAAAATCATAATTATCGCCAAAATCATCATCATCATCATCATCATCATCATCATCATCATCATCATCATCATCATCATCAGCCTGACTGCGCTCACTGGAGGACAAAGGCCTCTCCCATGTTCCGCCATTTAACTCGGTCCTGTGTTTGCTGCTGGCACTTAATACCCACATACTTCCTAATCTCATCTGCCCACCATACTTCCTGTCTTCCCCTCACCCGCTTGCCTTCTCTGGGAATTCAGTCAGTTATCCCTAATAGCTATAAAGTAATATTTTTAGGCAGACCTAAGCCGGTAGCGCACATTAGTGAGAGCAAAATTAGATGTTTAGAAAGGCAGGCCTTCGTCCTCTCTAAGTGTGCCGTGTCATTTTTTTTCGCTGAGCAGTTTAATAATGGATTACCAACTAACCCAATCCCACATTTCACTTTAGAAGGAAGTCGTTTCGGCTGCGTTTCCTCCGTGACGGATGCAATGCGAGCCACATCGCGCAGGCGAGGCCCACTTGTAGATAACAAATATTCCCACCATGAGCACGAAACGTTTTTTTTTTTGCGTAGCAGAGTTACTACTGAGCTATCTCACGTTCTAATACAATACTACAACGTGCAACTTCTGTCACCTGGCATTTGTTTAAATTGAGTCCTTTCGTACCATATTTCGGTTCCTGTGAAGGCAGCACTGTGTACTCCCGCCCACGAAAAGATTGGCAAAGAGGGAAATAAAGTTTATCTTTAACACTACGTAGAAAAACATGGAGGTTAACTCGGCTTCCCCGACTCGCTACCCTAAATCATGGAAGGGAAAATAAATAGAAAAAAAGAGATCGGACAATGGACCCTCTCGCTCACACACACGACTTTCCCACAGCATCAAGCCTGTCGCAAAGCACGGTCGTCTTCAGAATATTTGTTCGAGCCTGTAGAGAGGAAGACGGACGTGGCCATGAATCATGGGAAAGAACCGGCGAAAATTGAAAGGCAAGCCAGGGCTCATTTCTGATGCTTCGAGCAAAAGGGAGAGAATTAGGAAGGAGTGAGAGAGAATCTCACAGAAGTATCATGATCCGCGATGTCCTGTGTAGCTGATGCCATGAAAAATGCAAAAAGTGCTTTACAGGCGACACAATAATTCAACAACAACAACAACAACAACAACAACAACAACAACAACAACAACAACAACAACAACAACAACAACAACAACAACAACAACAACAACAACAACAACAACAACAACAACAACAACAACAACAACAACAACAACAACAACAACAACAACAACAACAACAACAAAAGTGCGGTGAAAATGCAAAACAACGTAAAAAATTAACGAATGCCTCTGCGACGAATAACCGCACAGGAAGGATACTTGGGCCGGAGCCGCCATCGTCTCTTCATGTTTTCTTCCGATAACTGCATCCTGATTTTCTTGCATATTGCTACGCACACACACTGGGTTCCTGTTTGCAAGGAGTGAAGAAAAAAAAATTCCGTTCGATTCAACTTGTGACGTGCAGAACACTCTGCGCCAAATCATACTTACGTATAGTGCTCGGGAAGTACGCAAGCACGCTTCTTTCTTTGCGCTGATAAGGTACATCCTTATTTTCAATGATGTCTTCTTTAAAAGTTCTTCTCATCCACCATTTAGGGAAATTGTATTGCAGCTGCTCTCTTTCCCTCTCAACTCATATAGGACTATAAACCGAGCAACGCGAACGCGTGAAACGTGAATCGCGTGTGCATACGTGAATTGTGGGGGTGAGCTTTGAAGCAGGTTGTTTTGGGCCCTCTTTTGAACGCTCTAATCGCTGATTGGTAGCTTCCTTCGATTCCTGATGACTGTGTAGCCTAAGCTCTGTGGTAGAACGATTTTCCGACTATTTACGTCATTCAGTGTTGTTGCAGGCTCTGCAGACCCTGTGCTTAAAAGCGCGTTCTACGTGCAGGAATCAGCGGCCGGTAATTTAGGTGGTTCAGATCATTCCGATGCCACGCTGCACATAATAAATTGTCCTCAACCGCAGCAAGCTGAAGTGAGAGTTAGCTCCATGGTCTACGCTGTGCTGCTGAAGGAATCAAGTACTAATCATAACGCAATAACATCATCACTGATAAATTCGTGTCACGATAAAGAAGATTTGTAGGTTCGTCACCGCATTAGGGCTATCCGGCAGTTGGCTAAGGCACCAGACAAGCAGAACCACAGCGCCCTCGCTGCATACCGCACGCCGAAACGCCAGCGCGCGGTTTTCCTTCGCCACGCCCAACCATCGCCGATCATTCGCCTTCGCGGCCGCAGCGCCGGCAAGCGCCGAGCGCCACAAAACGAGCGCCCCCTCGTCGCCGCTTGGATCACTTGGCGCGCGGATGCGGATCGAGCAGACGACGCGCCTTCAAGCATCGAGCAGACGACGCGCGCGACGCACCAGTCTTCTTTAATAGTTATCTACCCTTTCGGCTCTATTCGCACGTCTCCTTCGACTGGACTTTGGCCAACGCTGTCAGCCTTAACGCTCCCTGTTTCTCTAGTCGTGAGAAGGAACCTCCCCTGTCGCGACAGTAGTGTTTTGTCTCGCAACGAAATCACCTTCTCGTGTGTCGTTCGTCTCGTGGGTACGCTGCGTTTTGCGAGAGTGTGCGTGGACATTACTGGAGATTCATCTTCGATCTTCTGTGAGTGCATCCATCCTACACCTGTCAAGCCCACCAAGAAACTTTTCTTGGCTTCTCCGTTCAACTTTACTGTCATGTAAGTCAGCCGCACCTTTAAACTGTATTTCATCTAGGGGGGATTCCTCACCGGTGTGGTCATTTTTGTGGTGTCGTAATACTGTGTGCTGCTTCTGCTCGCTGATGCGTGAGACTAGAAAAAAAGCAAGTGCGTTTATTTATTCTTAAATAAAGAACTTGCAATAATTGTTCTCGAATAGTTAGTTCTTAAGGGTTTAACGATCACGTGCACACCTCATTGGAACTTAAATTCATTTCGAGGAAGTGAAACTGCGTTTGAATTCACAGTGCACATTGGTCCAACTAATGACAGCGCACATTTGTCCAACTAACGACAACATTTGTCACAGTGCAAAGGAATACGGTACACTTGCTGCGCCTTGTTTATTGTCCATGCATTTTTTTTTCACCAAAGCCACGCCTACATTTTTAGTGTCTTGAGGAAAGCAAGCTTTACCAGTACGCACTTATTTCAAAAATTGCTCTTTTGTTATTAGTTTCGCAAAAGGGTTTACAGTAGAGCTATATCGTTACAATTACAAAAAAATGAAGTCCACTAATGTAAACAACTGAAAAAAAAACACTTTGTTAACATTTAGTTTGGCATACGCATCGCGCAGGAAAATAACAGAAACGTGCGTATATACATCGCATGTATATCACATCTCTACGAATGCAATAACCCACATGGCAAACTTTTAGTGAAAAGATCAATCTTTCGGCATTTTTTTTCATTTCACGTTTCACTTGTCGAAATATACGGTGCTATATAATATATTTATTATACGATCTCCTATTTACATTATTCAGAAGATTCCTCACATGTTCAACGACCTAATTCATGGGATGACTGTTGAGGATTCTTACTAAGAAATATTTTGCTGCCACTCATGTCCATTCATAACTAATTCTCGCAGAGACATCGGTAAAAGGGATTATGTCGCGCTTAAACATATCATGAAATGTTTACACACAATTTTCGACAAGCCATCATGTGCGCTTTCTCATTTGAAATCACAGTTTTTTTTTACCAGAGCACCTGTTTTATACAATGGGATCCACATATTTCCTCACACTGCAAGTATTTAGCATCAATCCACAAGTCGCTGATTTATTTAGTGGGTTATATTTACACATATGATCATAGATCAGACCAAATTGACTGTATGCAGCGTTCGTATTGCCGTGGAACCAGGCAAGTTTACATTTAACTGGCTGAGCTCACTCAGATACAGCTGCTGTGCACGCATGCCACGCCGCAGCACAAGCTTGGCGCACATCCGCTAAGCACGGGTGAACTCGTCCAATGGGACACACCATGTAACGCCGGTGGTGGGAAACGATGCGGAAAAAAAACAATAAATGAAGATGGTGAGTTAAGCAGGTGAGTAAATACAGTCTCATCAAGTTCGCGAAATTCTATAGCCACACATCAAGTCCAGTTGCTTGTAGAAAGCTGTGGCTACTCTTACGACCGCAGTTGTACTGTTGGCGTCAGGCCAAGGGCCCAACACATGATGATTGATTGATATGTGGGGTTTAACGTCCCAAAACCACTATATGATTATGAGAGACGCCGTAGTGGAGGGCTCCGGAAATTTAGACCACCTGGGGTTCTTTAACGTGCACCCAAATCTGAGCACACGGGCCTACAGGGCCCAACACAACCTCATCAGTTAATGACCTATTGCGAAATCGTTCGGTTAAGGAAATGAGGTTCTGGTAATGTCTGCTAGTCAGGTGCGTATGCTGGGCAACTACAAAATATGTGCTCCAATGTTTCTTGCATTTGGCAGTGATGTAAATTCGGAGCGGTGTCAGTGCAGACGATGATATGTGCGTAACGTCTCGTGAAGGCCAGACCAAGACGAATCTAGTGAATGCTACTTGCAATGTGTCGCTTTTATTTAGGAAGCATGCATGCGGAACCTCATTCCCGGTTCCCGTCGGTGCAGTCAGCGGGGTCATCACTTCGGTTTTGTTCAGTTCTCGAGTGTGAAGTTGCACAGCACGCAGCGAAGCATGGCGTTCTTGTCTGGTCATGAAAACGCATTCTGCGCTTTGTGTACATTGTTTAAGGCCCCTTAAGCTTCAGCGTCTGCGCTTCCCATCAGCGTTTCCCATCACGCTACGCACAGCGGCGTGATGGGAAAGGTGACGAGGCCACCGTTTGTTGAAGCGACGTGAAGAAGCTCTACAATTTCTGTAACCCAAAGATAATACAGACCTCAACTCACGACGCAATTAATCGCTTGCAAAGCTTGGCGCTAACTGTGAGACAAGGAAACTCATTTATAGAGAACAGCTTTGTGCATAGACAATATTCTACGATGCGAAATTATAGGAAGAGTTTATTCGCCACAGATAGTGGTGAATCCTATGTGTATTTTTCGCATGTTGAAAGAGAAAAGTAATCTTGTAAGTGATGAAGATATTGTGCACGCAACATTTAAGTTGTTCTTGGAAAATAGGCATGTTAGCCTCTTCGTTTTCCTGCTCGTGATGATATCGTCAGTGATACAAGGGAGGCGCACAAAACAATGTTAATGATCAGCCTCAAGCATGACGCTTACACGACACCCAACCTACTGTAGCGAATACGCTGAGGCTCAGGTAGTTTTGCTGACAGGAAAATTTGTCTGTCATCTTACCTTCAAATACAACGAAATTTGTTTGGATGTTGACCAAGTCAACTTGGCAAGTGAAGGCAAGCAAGAATTGAATGATAATTAAAGTGGGATATTGTGTTGTGGATTTAGACCAATTCATAGTTGAAGAAATTGTTGACGACTGCTGCATTTTGAGACGCTGAAAAAGTTAAACTGTGGAGCGGCATAGTACATATACATGTTCTGAAAAATAAAATTGTAACTTGTTTAGGTATATTAATTCGTTGGTAAAATCGAAGCTGCTCTTCCACGAACTGCATAATTTAGCTCGTATAAATATAACGTGCCATAAAATAATAACAGAAATTCATTTTTAAAGCATAATCACAGTCTCCCACTCCTCATGCACTGCGAAATTTCGGAAGTGCTCTGTAAAGAGCAACCATCAAGCTAAACCGTGGAGCATACAATGACAGTTCAGTTTAAAACAGTGCTCCCCGGCCCTCGAAAACAGAAGAAAAAAATTATACGATTCAAGATTTTGTAACAATAAGCGTTTATTTCATCCTACACTATCGTGTTTTCTGAATAATCGTTCTGAAAACGTTACATTCCCTGCAAAATAATTGTGGCCGTTTCTACAAGCCATGATGTTGGTCGTGCCCTGGACGAGGAAGGATTATCCTAATGCACGAATGGCTAGGAGGATGGCAATCGATTATTTAGGAGGAGATTCGCTGTGTAAGGGGTAAGTATTTTCGATGGGATAACTCAATTACAGAGCGTCCCATCTTTACGGTCGTCAATTATTACCGTCTCGCGGCGCTGTGCTCGCGCGCACTGACTCGATCTGCCACGGCTCTGGTTTCTCCTATGAAGAAGCGATCGTGTGACTCGGAAATTGGGGAATGTAGCCCGACATACGATTTTGAGTTGGTAACATTCGTTTAGCCATAATTCTGGCCAGAACTTCCTCGTTAGCCAGTGTAATCTAAGTACGCCGTACCGTCCTCTCCGCTATGTATACCATGAAAGTCCAGGCGTGTCGATATCCGAAGTGGGCCCACTAACGTTGTACTTGCGTATCGCATTAAATCCGGTAGATAGGAAGATGCATCGAAGAGAATAACTGTACTGAGGTGAACTAATATAGTTTTGAAATTGCATGCCGAAACAATGATATAATAGTGAGTGCTGAAGTGGCAGAACTTCAGGTTTTTTTGAACACCTAAGGTTCATTAAAGTGGACCGGTGTACTATAAGGAGACGGATGTTCTTGCGTTTCGCCTTATCTAAATGTGGTTGCCGAGACAAGGAATCAAACCCGCACCCTCGGTACTAGCAGCGCCTCACAAAGATACACTGACGAGTTACGAAAATTGTTGGAGTTCACAAAACCACCATGTGATTATGAGAGACCCCGTCGTGACGGGCTCCGGAAACTCGGCCGCCTCGGTTTCCCTAACGTGAAGCTAAAGCTAAACACACGGGCCCCAATCATTTTCGGCTTCATCGAGATTGATGCCGCCTCGGCCTGGTGTTCAATTCCTTGACATGCGGGTGGGCAGTCTAGCATCGTAACAACTAGACCACCACGGCGGGTGGCGAGTTACAAAGACGTTCCATCTGCACATGCGGAAGAGGTAAGTTTCATCAGAGTGAATTGTGGGGCGAGCTGGTTCATTCTTAACGTAGCTTACGGTGCAAAAAGAAAAGTGCACACGAGAGACGGACAAGCACAAGTTGTGTTGTGTTTGCATTAAGTGGCTGATAAGGCCACATAAAACGTGTTCCGAATGCATATATCAGGAGTCGGGCAGATAAAGGAAAAAAAATCACGAAAGTTCCTTATCACTAGAGTTGAATGAGAAAGCACAGTTCGGAAGCCGAGTCACGGTGCCACCTCCTAATACGGTAAAAGCCTTACATGCGCCATCAAACGTTAAGAACGACTATCTGTGGCATCGACGTAAACACGAGTGACGTAAAAAAATCGTCGTGCCATGATGTCCCCACGTGACGTCACAGACAGCCAAAATTAGCGACGTCATCGCACGTCACGCGTTGACGTCATCAAATGCCATAGTCGATCGGTCAAAGATGTGCCGATGCCGGAGGCGCTGCTAAACTACGTGACTGAGAGGTGAAGAAAGCTAGCAATGCCTTAGATTCCAGAGGCCATTGAGGAGAAAAATAAGATTGGGTTCGCCTTTTAGTTGTCTTAGGCGAATGTGTAAAGAACCATGCGGCTTTTTTAAAATTTTAGTTCGGTGAACACCTCAATGACGAAGTTAACGCGAAGCTCCATGTACGCGTGAGATGGGGCGCCACTTTTTTCTTGGTACCGTTCCGTGATTACACCAGATTTTCCTCTGATGATGCGTGGGCACCGTTCTATTAACCGACTTGC